GCAGCTGGGCACATGCCATCCCGTGGCTCGGGGCTGCCCTCCCTGTCTGCCTTCAAGCTGTTCTCATCCAAATCGTCCCATGTTTCTGGGTCAGACAGCCAAAACAGACTCCGCAACCCTCAGGAAGGGGGAGCTGAGCCCCCTGGTCTGGGCTGAGTCTCTGGGAAGTGCCTGAAGGATGGAAATCCCCCTCCTGCCCCAAACTTCAGCCTCTCACCTGCGACACCAGGGATAGCTGCCAGCCCAGCTCCGTCCACAGCCCTGAGGGACCTCCACATCCCCCTGAGAGACCAGCAAGGCCCTGGGAGAGACCAGCAAGGCCCTGGGAGAGACCAGTGCTGCCTGGCCATCCCCAAAGGAAGGCAGCATGGCCTGGAGCAGCCCCGACAGACCCCACACTCATCCCTTTCCCCAAAAATAGCCCATTTTTCCCCCCACTCTTTTACCCAGGCAGGGAAAAGGTAGCTGCACGTGGCCTATGGGTGACAACAAGGAGCCACAGGCTGCCCTGCCAATGAGTTTTCAAAGGCTGGGACAGAAACACAGACCCAGGACAGAGGAAGATGTGGACCTGTGAACACAGTGAGGTGGGGTGCAGAGGGGCACGGGGCTGGGCACCTTGAGGAGGCCGTGCCCACAGGGCCAGGCGATGCCCAGCATGGCCTCCTCCATCTCCCTGTGCAATGCTGTTTGCTCGTGCCTTATCTCCCGCACTCAGCCCGGTGACGCTTTCCCCGGCTCCGGGTGCACCGGTGACAGCCAGGCCCCTTTCCAAACACAACACCCATTAGAGGCCAGCTTTGAAAAGCAACCGCCCGCTCACTCCTTTCACCGCTGCTGCCCACATAGGGCTCTTCCTTCCTGGGGAGAGAGGTGGGAAACAAGGGGGTAAACCCCCCCATGAGCTGGGACAGCCAGGATGCAGGTGGGAAAACCCACCAAGCAAACACGAGGCTGCTGGAGGAGACCCCCATCCTGGGGAGGCCAGGAGCCACGGGAGGAGGAGGAGGGAAGGATAGACCCTCCCTGTGCCATGCAGCTGCAGCCCCACCACCATCCATCCCCACGGCTGCTGTGCTCGCCAGAGCCTTTGAAGCCTCTTTTCTCCCCCTCCCACCGCGGGCTGGTTCAAAAGCAGATTTAAGCAGGCTGTGGGGTGGTGGGGTCCCTAGCGCAGGGCAGCCACCAACCAGGCTCCCCTGGGCATGGCACGTCTCCCCGCTCCTGGCTCAGTCTTGGTGGAAGAGGGAGTTTTGCCCGTTTCGGCAGAGTTTCTCAGCGTCTCCCCGCAGGCGTGCCCACGGCCTTTCCAAGCTGGCATGCGGCTGTGGAGCCGGTCCAGCCCGTCAGACCTACAGCATGTGGGGAGAGGAGGGGAGGACACAGCCAAGGATGCTTGAGAACTTGTCCTCGAAACTCAGGCTTCAAGGGACATGACCAGGTCCACACTTGGGCAGTAGGCAGAGCTGGGTCCAGCTGCCTGCGCTGCCCTGGGCAGGATTGGAGCGGGCAGGGTGCCCAGACATCCCTGCACCACCACCAGCAGGGAAAGCCATCGGGTGTAACAGAGCCTGAAATTATAAGGATTGTGCCCAAGGCTGGTCCTGGCTCTACCCGGCAGCCAGACCACACAGAGCAGCTGGAGCACCCAAGGCTTGGGACAAACCTCCCTAGGGAGCAGCAGCTAAGAGGAGGACGGTCCGCCTCAGTGAGAGGGGACGGCATGCTGAGCCAGTGGCAAAGGCTAACAAATCACAGAAGAGATATTAAACCTCACACTTTGGGGTTTAAACTGATATAGCTACTAGGGATTAGGAGGAAATTTAAGGGGGAGGGAGGGAGCAAGTTATCCCACACCTGCCTGCTGTGGTCTTGCAGCACACAGAGAAACATTGTCCCTCTCCTGCCCAGCTGGATGGGTGACAGCAGCATCCGAGGGCCAGCACAACTCTTGGGAAAACCTTGCTGTGCTTTGTGCTGTCGGGATGCAGCAATAAGGGGCACCAACCCAGGTGTGGGGATAAAGCCAAGACCCCCTGTGAGCTTCACTAGCATTTAACAACTTGCTAGGTCACAGCCCAGACACAGCGAAGTCCCAGGCACCCACCCCGTCCTCGATATACCCAAGGTCTGGAAAGCACTAACATAGCTAGTGAAATGGGGCAAGTGGCTGGCCAAAGCCAGCTGAACCTCCCCAGAGGCAGTGGCTGAACCCCAGCAGGGCTTCGCTCCCTGTCCTTGAGAGTTTAACGCCGGTTTGCTCAGCTGCCACCCTTTCTTTGCACTTCGCACACGTTTAAACAAAAACCTTCGCCACTCCCTCGAGGAAGGCAAACAGCAAGTCCAGCTCCCATCAGCTTCAACGGCTCCTCCAGCTGCCAGCTATCATGGGAGCATCACACCCACCCCCCGGCATCACCCCAGCATCCCCCGATCCCTGATTGATTAGCCCTGCATATCCAGGGATGGGGACACATAAACTCTGCTGGGCACCATCCAGCTCCAGAAGCTGTCACCACTTCCCAGGGACGAGAGCCCCAGCCGGGGGGCTCTGCCTCTCGTCTCCCCCAAGAGCCCCAGCCCCTTGCTGCCGTGGCAGCCACCTCGGCCAGGCCAACTGGCGCATTGTTGGCGAGCGCAGCCAGCCCGGGGACATGATTGATTGCTGGGGAGAAAGGCCAAAGCCGTGACAGGTCGTTTAACAATTTCAATTAAACTCTGCAGCGCTCCAACGCGGAGGGGAGAGGGAGAGAGCAAAGGAAATTAAAAAGAGGGATGTTTCTATTGCTGCGCTAAGGAACCTCAGCAAAGCATGGCCAGCTCGGCAGGAGCAGCCCGGCTCTCCTGGGGGAGACCCCCTTCTCCAGCTGCAGAAGTGACCACAGCGTTGTCCCAACATCCCCTTCCCACGCCTGTCCTCGCCCTCCCGCTCCTGCCCCCAAAATCTTCTCCCCGTCTGCCCCACCACCATATAATAATAGGTGCTGTGACCCACTTGTATGGCAGCGCTTGCACGGGGAGGAAGGCTCTGCACGGTGAATATTAAACAACATGTCCCTGAAGTTCCCGCTGCTGGGACTGGCGCTTGATTTTTGCTTACGTGCAGTGACTTTTTTAGGCACAGGAAGCCCCAGAGGGCTAATCACACCAACCAAGCTCCCAATCCACTGAGACAGCAAAAGGACTCTTACAGAGATAAAAAAAAAAAAAAAAAAAGCAAAACCATATCAGCCTGTCATATGGAAAAGGCGCCTTCATGAGCAGCAAATGCTCGGCTCACGTGGCACCGGCGAGAGGAGGGAGAGGGAACCATAAAGGATGGGGAGCGGTGATGCGCTCCATGCCGGGGACGAGCCCCTGGGACCAGGCAAGCCCCCACAGTGGGTCCAGCATGGGAGCCCCACCAAGGGCTTGCAGCGGTGGCCTTACAGGGATCTGGGCTTTTTGACACCCACCCCCCCGCCCTTTAAAGGAATAAAATGAAAATAAGCAGAGGGAGCTGCTGACGCCGCTGCAGCAAGGGAGTTAAACACACACGTTCACGTGGGTGCCTGACGGCTGGAGGGAGGGGAAAGCGCCAGAGAGAAAACGCAGATGGGGTTTAACTGGGAGAGAGTTACTGGAGGGGACCGGAGGAAACAAGTGTAACTTCACCCCTCTGGGTGTGCAGGAGGAGGAGAGCCATGACCACCCCAGCCTGCTCACACTACCCAGCCATGGGACACCAGCTCAGGGGAACAGGGCTGTGTCAGCCAGCGGGACGCTCACATCCTGACATTATTTATTGCCTTGGGGGTGTCCTTCAACCCGCCTGTGCAGGCAAACCTCTCTTGCTGCAGCTCAGGGACCCTGTACGGGCACAGTCCCTTCACCCAGGGAGGGGGCACCAGGCACCCCCTGTTCTGGGGAGGAGGAGGTCCCCAGCCCTCCTGCAGGCCCGGCAGTCAGGACTTGCAAAGTTTTGGCCCAAATCAAAGCTTTCCAGTAGCTGACCCAGTGCAGTTGATCCCCTTCTTGCATTTATAACCCTCAGCCTAACTCATGTTTCTCAGCAGCAGTTTCTCCACCCTGAGCCGCTCCTAAGAAGCCTTAAAGCTTCTTCTCCTGCCAGAGTTTCCCCTCTCCCTCCCTAGGACAGTTTTTTCCCCTCCAGCTTTCCCATACACACCCACGAGACCCCCCACGATGAGCAGCCGTGGCAGGGGGTCCCGCACCCCCTCAGCCCAGAGCAGCTCCCACAGCCCAGGCAGGCACTGTGCACCTTCCCCTAGCTACCCGCTGCACAGTGAGCCCTTTCATTTACTTTTCCCAGTTTCCTTCTCTCAATAGGTCAGGAGAAGCGACCAGGAGCTCAGCTCTCTACAAGGGCACCATGGCACTGACCATGATCTGCTCCTCCACCTTTCCACCCTCCCCATCTACTCCAGACGCCGTGTGGCGCCTACAGGACCCCGATGCCCTTGGGGACACCCGCAAGCCCGACATTTGCTCCGAGCTGTGCTTGCCGCTGACCTTTCCGAGAGCACGTGCAAGAAAACAGCCCTGCCGAAGGGTTAAACATTACCAGACTGAAATTCAAGGCTTGATGATTGGTTCCAGTCGACTGGCTGGGATGATAATTTTTCACAAGATAAATACAGCCGGGAGTGAGCAGCAATCACTAAAGATTCTCTGTAGCAGTGTTCCCCCCCAAGCGGCTTCACTTCCCCCCGCCACTGCTGTTTCCCTTCACCCATCCCCACTCGGTGGCCCACACTTCAGGGCCCCTGGCCCTGAGCCCGAAGGGAACCCCAGCCCTGCCAGGAGGATCGCTTACAGCCCAGTCATTCATCCGCATGGGCTGCGCTCGCGCTCCCGCCTCTGGCTGCGGTGTAACTTGTGCACCAGGGTTCGGAGCCAGCACTTGCACCCTGGCTTGGACAGCACCAAACCCACTCCCAGGACAGGCAGCGGTGCCTGGCCAGGAAGAGTACCCTGCAGCTCTGCGCCTGGGTACTCACTGCTCTTAGATGCCTTGATCTTGGCCACCAGTTTCTGCACACCGGGTACGTCCCCATTCTTCACGGCCTGGATCAGTTCCTGCTCTCGCCCCATTGCAGACAGGTGGGAGCAGTGGCGGTGCAGAAGGCAGAGACCCTCAGATCCCAGCGGTTTATAAAAGCATGGAAATAAGCACGTAATTCCTCAAAACACGCTTTGATGGGAGATGAAATCCAGCAAGAAAGATGCTTTACAATCCCACGGGACATAAAAACCAGAAGGAAGAAATCTTTCTGTTAAGGCCAGAAGTCCCTTTCTGCGTCGGGAGGAGCAGGACCCAGATGGGGTTTGGTTGGAGAACATGCGATCAATTAAAACAAGAAATAGTTCAGCACTCAGGGACGGGCTCCTGACAGCATCAGGGCTCTACAAAACAAAGCCAGGTGGCTCAGGGCAGGGCGGCTGGCAGAGTCAGCATCGGGATGCCCTTGGCCTCTCGCAGCACTCCCAGAGCCAGAGGTGTTGTGCTTTGCTCCCCTTGCCAGGCTCTGCTGCGCTGATGAGTCCCTAATTCTTCCCAAAGGGATTACGGGCTCGTCGCCATCTGGAAGTTATAG